AAGTACTTCTGAATTTTTCACCCTTTTTTCGGTTGTCTTGGATTAAGGAGCTTCTTACCTTAAGGTCAAGTATTGATTTTTTTTTTTTTTTTTAGTTCAGATGCAGAGTTGCCAACAGCTTACTGAACACTAGACCTACTCATGGTGAGAAGTGATTTGTCCTTTAAGACTTTTTTCCCAGTGCTGGTTTGCCTCATGGGAATCAGACAGTTAACTAGGAACAACCCAAGTGCCTACTACTGTTTGGGGGTTAGTCAGGTTTAAGGATTCATTCATTCTTTCTCAAGTCTAAGAAAGAAAATCAATGCTTTGACTGGGCAGGGGAGGGAGAATAACTTTTGGTGCATGTGAGAAGACAACCACAGTGTTAATTTTTTTAAACTCACCAAGTACAGGGATCAAAATACAAAGACTTGAGTGTAAAACTAGAGGGAAAAAAGGGGATTCCATATACTTAAGTTGAATTTGGAAGTAACTTCCTTCTATCTGGGTTGGAGCATGCTGTAGCTGCGTGAAGTAGGATTGAAGAAACAGTTTTGTTGCACTTTGATTGGAATCCGTGCTTAACTGATACGCCATAAAGGGACCAGGGTCAATTTATATACCTTTTAAGAACTGTCATGTGTTGTTCTGCCCCCTCCCAACCCCTCTGGATCTAAACTAAATGTAATAACTTCATCAGTATAGAAGTTTTTCCAGTAGGGCAATTAAAACAAAGGGACAGCTTCTTCCCTAGCAGATTAAGATTTTGTTAGTGAGCTTCCCAGCACCTCACACAAACTGTCTTTTTTGGACTACACTACTTCATTCAGGGTGTTCTTAAACACAAGTTCCTGGTAAGTGTTCAGTACAAGACTCAAACTAGTATCTTTAAAGCTGGTAACTATCATTTAAATGGTTTCTTTTCCTTGGCCTGCCCTTTCAGAGAGGCTTTCAGCATGGAGAGCTTCAGTCTTTACTGAGAGCTTAAACCACCTGTGCATTCTGCCATAAAACAGTAAGAAAGCACTGAAGAAATCAAAGAACAGAGGGAGATGATTCTGAAATTTAAGCATAAGAGCAGCCAACAAAGCTACCACCAGTATCTCTGGTTTAGCTATTTCATAGAGACCACTTTTCCACCTACCATCATTTAGCTAAAACACATGTCCATTTGTTACTGCAAAGACTTAAGTCGTTTTCCTCATTAGGCAAGCTACATTACAATTAAATCAATAACGGAAAGAAATTTCAATACAAGTTTATTTACCAATATACAATGCAAAAACCTAGTAAAATGCTGAGTGTGCACAACATCAGTTAGGTTTTACATGATTTCAGCACAGGCATTTGTGTGTCTGGCACAGCTACACCAGTACACTATTCAAATGAGTGCAACATTCCCTTTAAGGAAGAAGCAGATGAGCTGAACATGCTCACCAGGTACCTTCCTTCACAGTATTTAATGTGTCATCACTTAAGAGCAACTGGGGCACATGCAAAAACATTTTGCAAGAAGAGATAGTAAACTGAAAGGCTAATGAAGTCTGTTACAGTTGCAAAGAAATTTGATTCAGCCGCCGCACGAGAGAATAATGGCAGAGTGCTTAGTTTGTGTGATTTACAAGGCAGTTTAAGGTCAAAGACTCATGCAAACCTACTAATGCTGTTCTTAATGCTTGCTGGGGCTGCAACAGAACATAGGGCAGGAAGGTCTGTATCCAGAATACTCTGAACAGAATACTCAGAACAAGCCCTTCTGCACTGGGTAGTACACACAGAATGGAGATTAATGCTCCCTTGTTACCTAGTGAGCAAATATTACTGTGAAACATCACTGGGACTGGACTGATTGAAGTAAACATACAGCATTAAAACAGACTTATTGCTGCCTCTATCAGTAGCAGAAGATCAGTATTTTGAACAGCTTATGGAGTATCACTTTTTCATAGGCTTACATCCATGTTGCTAGGACAGATACTATCATTAGTAATGTCTTTAATTAGAAAAGTCAAAAGCATTAAGCATATAAAACACCTTTTCATTAGCAACATGAAGGCTAGGTTATTTGTACAGTACAGGAAGCACTTCCAGATCAACACAAGATACAAGTTGAAGAGCTCTCTGCCATGTGTTTTCTCAGCCCCTTCACCACAGAAGAGAAGCAGCGTAGCTCTAGTAAGTTGCTGGATTAACATAACTGCATCTCAACTTAAAAACAAACAAACAAAAAAACAGCAGCTTATAACAAAGGAATGCTTAGACTAAATCAGTTCCATGTGAAAATATGGAACAGCAGCATCCTCTAGTGCAAGTCACCTTTAAAATTAAAAGCATAGCTGACAATGAGACATTGCTTCTAGGGAAGCCCTTTCCAAGGGACTAGTATTTGCTAAAGCAAACATTTACCACCTTGAATTTGCTTGCAAGTATAAAATAAATATTGATATCCATATTTCATACATTAAAAATACTTTATTTTACATTCATTTTGATGTTCAATAAGTTATGTCTAGCACCAAAGAAACTTTTTGGAGGGGCTGAGGAATTAAGAAACTACAAAGTGTAAATGCAGAATTCACTTCAACATTTAAATGACTCAGTGGTGCCTAGATTTTTTTTTTTAAGTTATTGTTCAGATGGGCTTTAGACTATTGCTTCAGTTAGACTTAGATGTGCCAAAACAGTGTAGAAATATAAAAATCTCAGATTTGAGGGGGGGAAAAAAAAAAACCCAACCAATTCTTTTAAACTCCCAGCTACATGCAGAGTTGAGGCTCCAGAACACTATCAGTAATGGTATGTTATGGCAGTTAGGTAACAAGTTACAGGAAGAACCAAATTGCATAACTAGAACACTAGAAAGAAAGGCTGAGCTTCCTTTCCACAGGAGTAGGACAGAAAATAACCAAGGGTTTATACCTTACGAACTTGTGCGCTGTCTGTACATGCATATAGGGTGAAAGTGGTTCTTAAAGCTACTCAGCACATTGCAGTTAGTTCCACTGCTGCCAAGGAGAGACAGTTTTGTCTCGAGTATTCCACAACAAGCCACTTACAGGTAAGCCAAACAAAGTATGACATCCAAGAGGACATAGCCCTTACCTCTTTTGAAGGGACATAACATCACAAGCTCAAAAGAAAAAGGCACTAGAGTTTTGGTTTTTTCTTCCTTAGAAATGCTGGCTTTGTCATTGTACCCCTTTTATTCTAAACTCACTGGTAACGCTATTTTGGTAATGCTGGATATATTAACTAAAACCCAGTTCTGATCAGTATACCTCTGCCAAGTTGCAGAATTAATACTGTTTTAAGATTTTGTGGTATCCTCACCGACTACAGCCCAAAGCATCAAACCAAGATGACATTTCCAGTGCTTGCACTTGTTCTGAAGGCAGTCCAGTTCCATGTTTTGGCACACCTGCACTCCAGAAGACCTGCCCAACTGGCCTCTGGTCACAGCTTCCTGCGCTGGACATGACCAGGAGAGAGGCTTAGACACAAGTAACACTGTGCCATCTTCCATGTGGCAACCACCACCTTTTATTCATTTGGTTAAATACCAGCACGGGAATTTAAGGATGAAATGAGCATAAAAACTAGTCCTCCTTCAACATCTTCCCTTAATCGGTAGATCTTACTAAAACAGTACTGTGGATCTGGCATTTCTGTTACATGCTGTGTTACATCGCCAGCTGCTGCCTGTCGCAAGCACCCAGTTCAGACCGTAGTCGTTAGAGTTGTGATGAGTTACCTCTCAAGGTGCACTGTTCTCACTGCAGTGGGCTGCATTCACAGTTCTTCTACCATGTCAGTAATTTCAACTTCAACATGCTTAGTCCAGTACGTTTCAACGTATGCGCAATTAGAACCCTGTAATGCCTTGATTTACAGCTCCATACGTTAGGAGCACATTAGCTGTGCATTTTGACCTAGTCTGTATGACTTCTCATTTTTGTTTCTAAAAACCAATCTCAGTGATCGCTCTCCATTTGAGAATCTCACTCCCTTTCCCTGTCCCTCCCAATCAAATTCAGGAGGAGACAGCTACACCTCCTCAGCCCATACAAGCTCGGAAGTTACAGATACCAAAGAAGGAGGAGTAGGCTCCCCCAACAAGAAGAAACGGTGATTTTGCTGCCTGAGGCTGCAAGACAACTCACTGCTTATTTTCCCAAACACCATTTCTGGCCCAAATCAGCCACTTCACAGTTGTGCTGACCCCTTCCCCAGAACAGAGCACCGCAGCTGCCGTGTACTCCTGCAACTTTGCTACTAATTAGTTAACATCAGAGCCTCAGTGGGGTCTGTTTCAGCAAAAACTCAAGTCAAAGCCATGTCTGGATCAGCTGGGTGTGAAGGCAGCTCTTCAAGAACCCTTTCAACAGCACAAGCACCTGAAGGCGTCTCACCTACCACATTTCTTTCCTTCCACTCCCTGCCATGGCTCAGCCCTGCCGTATTCTGACAGAAAGTCTCATCCCGCTGTCCCAGCACCTTGGCTGTAGTTACTAAAGAGAATGTTCTGAAAGCTTAGCCATGGTCACAAAAATCCCCGCTCACTGTGCTCCAGAGCTCAGGACTTTTGTAAGCTTCGCTCTGCTGCCAGCATTATGCCAAAAAACAAAACAAAGGGAGAAGAAAGTTTCCAGCAAATGAAACTACCTCCCACCTTCAAAGAAAAGCAAGGATTACACTGATACTCATTTGTCCAATAGTAAGAGTAAAGTAACTACTCTGGGACTACTGGACTTGAGTCAAGTTCACATGAAAGAAATCTGTTCTAATAATGTACCAAAAGCAGTGAAATCCAATTTAGAAATTTCACAATTAAGTATCTTCCATGATCCAAAGCAAAAGTCTATTTGAACCATGGATCATGAATACTGTGGGGGTTTAGGTATTTGTTTTTTTTGTGTGTTTTTAAGTGACATGATTTTTGTATCTTTGGGGAGGGAAGGAAAAAAATAACGGAGTCCTTGAGCCTATAATGGGCCTCTGCTTTTCAGATCAGCTGAGTTTCATGAAGCATCCCTGGATATCCAACCACTTTCTGTTAGAAAGTTTAAAATCCTTTTCTTCAGTACCTTATCTAAGTAACTGGGAAGGCGACTCTTTGAAGGAATTCCCTGTCTTTTTTGGAGATGGTCTTTAATAATTATAGTTTTTACAGTCACATAACGTGCAGGACTCAAATTTAGAGAGCTGCAGAGCACTTTTTCCCTGTCCGATAGGAGTTCAAAGCCAGGCAGGTTTTCAATGGCAGCAAATTCACCTTCTTTACCATCTTCCTTCCCTCTCTTGGAACTAGCTATGTTTTTGTTCTCCTTCCTCTTTTCCCGTTTATGCCTGGCTGCCTCGTATTCTGCTGACTCTTCCATTTTGGTGATTCCATTTCGACGATACCGCTGCAGCTCCCGAATCTTTGCTCGAAGTATCCTCTCCTTGTGCATGTTCTCAAAGAAGTCTTCAAACTCCTTACAAGACATGAACTGGTACAGAGGCCTCAGTTTCAGCCTCAACTCCTTCTCTTCTTTCGTGATCTTTCGTTTGGGAGCCTTCTCCTTGTCCTTTTTATCCTTCCCCAGAAAGGCCGGTACCAAGTTATAGTCTCGTGCAATGTTCTTCCGCCGTTGCCTCTCCTTGAGTTTCCTTACGTACATGTCTACGTGAGCTCTTTTTAACTCTATTTCCACATCATCATCATCATAGTTCACCGAAAGGCCACTGATCAGAGTCTCCGCATCTTGGTCATATTCGATCTCATAGTCATCCCGAAGCGGCATGTATCCCAACTGCTGCTGCTCAGCCACCGATATATCCAACGGTGGGAGCGGCGTGGTCAAGCTAGGAGAAAGCGGGCCGCCGCTGGGACACGTGTGATCTGTTACTCTGTTCGGAATAGTGTCAGGGATGCAGGCTTTTCCCAGGTTGCCGTGGATATACATGCTCACATAGTGTTCCATCACCTCCTGAGGCGTTCGGGATGCTCCCACGTGAGCAGCCATGTCCTCCTAAATGGAAAATAAGGAGGAGTGATGAAATTATTCCTATTACATCTCCAGCATAATGTGCACTCTGGTAAGAGCATGACTACTTCTTCCCTGCTCCTCAAAAGCCAACTCACAATACCTAAACTTTTCTAGCAATGCTGAAATTAGCCACATTCCCATCAGATCTGCATTTTTAGGTCCAGCTAAGTATTTACAAGTGCACAGGAGCACGTAAGCCATGAAAACCGCACCAGAAACACCACTAAGGCAAGCTGCATCAGATCCTCTAGGTACAGGAACACCATCGAGACACTGGAGCCACACGGTGATTCCTGAGCATCCATCGCTCCCTCAAGAAGTCAGTTTACTGCCACCAGGAAGCTTTCTAAGTCCCAAGCCAGCGCTGAGATCACTACGTCGTTTGGATTTTGCTCATTGATACTGCATTGCTGAAGTACTTTTAGAGCAACATAGAAATAAAGATAGTACTTACAGTAAGAAAGATAGTATCTGCTCTTTTCCAGTTATTTAAGAACTCAAACAAGCGACAATGATCATAAACGTTAAGATTTTGAAAAAGGCTTTATGTTTAATGAAGCAAAACATAATCAAGTAACAATGAATCAAATGATGATGCTTTTTACTGCTGTTTTTTGAAAACGAGCCTGACTGTATGCTGACACAGGAGGCGAGCAGCAAGTTTACAGCTGTGACATACTTGAAGGAAAAGACGGAACACAAAGAAGAAGAGGATGTAAGATCTGCAGCACAGGCAGGCTGGGGGGAAGGCACATGAAGGGAACTGAAGGTACCGGCAGGTCCGAGAAGCCCGAAGTGCTCTTTTGACCAGCAGTCCTCCCATAGGCAGCCTGCGTAAGGCCGAGAGGCCGCCGTCCCGGCACGGAGCCGCCCGCACC